ACACAACACGGTGACGGCTTAAGTAAGGAGGTCATGAGACCACTGAGGTCCTTCTGCCCATCTATTTTCCTGTAACGATCCAATTTTCTAACCAAGCTTAGTGCATATGCAGTCCAAAATATGATTGCTCGTAGACGGCATATCCTTCCTGGAAATGATTAAAAAACAGGGGAACAAGGTGCTTTGCCCTTTTCGTAAACTGCGTTCCGAAAAAAGGCTGAAAAACTTGATCTCCAAAGCCTATTTCGGAGACAAAAATTATAAAACTTGAATGAGCGTCATAAACGCCTGATCCTACAGCGGACGTGAAGCAAGGACTGTTGCTCGGGGAGCGCTTTCTGTGAATAAATATGAAGACCCGTTTTCGCCTCTAGTGAGTGTACGAGTCGGGTAGGCAAGTTTTCTATCAGCGCATTACAAACCGCTGGAACGAGCAATCGGAGAAAATGGTCTAGTTCTTACTTATATATTATTCAGGAAGTGTCCTGCTTCCTACTGATGTTGTGCGGGACAAACTGTAGGGTATGTTAATGACTTCCTTCGTGCTTATCGCTCAGAGATGCTCAACGACGTTGAAAGACACTATTTTTATGTCACGTGTATGTCCAAGAGCAAGATATAGTTGCTTTGGATGAACTTACTCATCAGAGTATACTTCATTGAGTGCTACGTTCACTTTTCGTCAGTTTTGTTGCTTTTTGCATTCTTTTGGAGCGGTCGTCCTACGGCTGTAGTATTTTCCCCCACGGCTATTCGCCGCCTTGTTCAATGTCCCGCCCCCGACAACGACTACCACATGTTTTATAAGTTGTTTAGCGTTCGGTTTGAGTTTAACTTCCGTGGAGTTTTCATGGATAAACAGCGTTTTATTTAAGGGCCACGATTATGAGTGCGTACTTCGCTGCGAATGAAGTGTTAAGAGATCCTAGTTTTTTGTTCTGCCTTACTTTCATCACCATAATGTCCGCTCTCCCTTGGCCAGTGTATGATTTTTTTGTGGGAAGACCGGTGTTCTTTTATTTCCGAATATTTTAAAGCTCTCGGAATACCTGTAAATTATACATTTATGAGGGGTGTGACTATAGCAGCGTTTAAACGCATAAAATATTTTGATGTTTATTTATGTCTCTGAGCAAGCGTAAATAAGTACTCTTTCAAAAAGTCCTCGTGCTATAATTGGGTTTTAGATTTGAGTTCAATTCTCAACTAACCACAAGGGATTAAATAAAGTATTTTACCAAACACATGAAGCACAATTATTCAAAAGAGTCAACTTGAAACGCAGACTCTCTGATGATATAGAAGAATTATGCTTTTTATTCCTTTTTGCACCTTGAAAATGCCTAATAGTGCAGATAATTTACAGAATTCTGCAGTTGACTACCCTCAAAATCAGTTGAATAATATTGCACAACTTATTCTTGGGACGTCTTAGTAAACACTGGGGTTAAGAATGACAAGAATTAAGTAGCTGCTTAATTCGTCTAGACGATATCTCATTTATTGGGCAGAGGAATGAAAGATGATAACTATGGCGAGAGTCTTGGACTGCTTACATAATCCAGATATAGACTGTGTGTACAACATGTTTCAAAAGCCTACCAGAGAAGTCTCATAAATTTAAGGAAGTTTACAGAAGATGTGCTATCAAAGGAAGTGTTAATAAAATTCGCAAAATTTGTTTTTGATCAGAAAAGATTGCTTAAATACGATTGTCATGTAATGGTAATGTGGTTCAAACCGACCATATTTAAGTCGTTCTAGGATGCCGACTTTTATACAAGCCTTTTCCCAGTCGAGTGCTCAAGTTTCACCTTGTAAAAGATGACTACGTACGTTTTATGATTTTTCCAATTTCGATACTCTTAAAAATTGAAGTATAATTTGTAGAAAACAGGAAAATCATTTTAACTAGTCATATCAAATTAAATTACGCCTTTTCTTAATTTTCTCTTCGAAAAAATGCAATTTTCGGTCTTAGATGTTTAACCATGAGATTTTTTTAGACCGTGAAATGTCCGTTTATACAACTTTGCATATTTACATTAATTAAGGCCTCTTGTAACTTATACCACCCGGCTCATATCCACCAAAAATATTTGATGAGCCCTATGTAAGATCTTTTTAACAGACTGCATATGTACTCCTTTCTCTAAGCGCGCAGTATACAGCTTGTGGTTTTTAAGCTCTAAATGCTAGTATAGCAGCGAATCACCCTCGGAGGTATTCGGGGATTTACAAGTTTCAAAACCACAAAATGTCCTTTTGAGGCAGGAATTTGTAATGGGGCGGAATTGTTTACCAAATAAGTACGAAGAAAATACTTTAATATGCTATACAGTGTTGTGTGATTTACTGAGGAAATCGCAGATCAGTAGGGAAAAGTAACATCACATATCCAATCGTCTTTTAAAAAACACTAGTTTTTGGTGGTCGAAAGGATCTTCATTCAAAAACAGGCATCCTGATTTGACTGTAACATGAACGAATCTTAATTCAGCTGATGCCTATATGTATGTCTTAAATGCCCAAATGATTTCAATGTTTTTGGTATAATTTGTGCACAAATGAACACAAACAGAGAGCACACAACACTAACAGCTAAAAATGAATTAGACTGTTATTGTGATGACTTTCTATTGTGACCAGGATTTGTAGATATGCTATCACATTAAATTCTGACCTTAATTCTGAAACATGTTCCCAATTTGAAAAGGTTACTTAAGTAGCGCTGTAACAATACTTAGCTTGCAACACTATCCGAAACTATCTCAGTCCTAGAACTATTGAATAGCAGAATGCACGTGGACGTATTTTCCGTCTTGCTAGGTCTGATTGAAAATGCTCCTATCACTTAAATCGCGGGGGTGTGTCCTCACTGACCAATTTATTTAAAGCATTGTATGGAAAGAGTACGTGATCGATCCAAACGACGAGGGGAATAAATCCCAAACTGCCCAAAACAAGGAAACTACTTCACGGACATACTGTGCAACTGTATAATATATCCCCATGAGTACCGTTTTTGTTTTCAACGCCATTTAATTTGCTTAAAAAATGCCTGCCCTCTCCTCGGTCCTAGTCACTAGTACATGGATACTTCACTTCCGCTTCTTCACATATTGAAAGTGTTCACATGGATGGAGATAGAGGTGCACTTTTCAGTGCTTAAACTCTTGGTAAAGTCTGTTGGCACAACAATATAGACTGATGAAATAGGCTAAAATTACGGACTTTTTGTGACTCAGCAACTGAGCTTTTCCGTTTCATTATCCGAATTATCATCTCATTAATAACCACAAAGAGTTTGTGAAAAAGCTGCTTTCCGACCTACTGTGTATATAACTCTGGGAAGGCGTTCAACTTAAAGGTTTCTCCGTAGAATATTCCAGAGATCATCATCAATGTTGCAGCGTTCTAAAGGACACTGAATGAAAAACTACCATCCCTTAGTTGTACCGAAAAATTGTTTACTATCAATAGACTAAATTCGTTAACATCCTATAAAATTTTTTAACCAAGCATGACAAGTCCGTTAAAACAGAACGATGTTGAATTCAGGTATTTTGTGGTTCACTGCCGTTCGATTGTCGACAAAATGGACGAAAATGGACGTTTGCACGAATATCTTACTAGGGGAAAAGACAGGCAAACGTTTAAAATTTGGTTATTCCTGCATCTTAACTGTGCCGAGCGCTCGCAGGAAACTTTGATTCAGTTGGATTTACTTCATTCCTATTCACTTAGATGGCCGTCCCTTCATTAGGATTGAGAGACTAGCGGATTATGGCAGATCAAACCACGACCCAACGAAACATCAGATCATAGTTTTGTAAGCTTACTCTTAACAGAATCTTAAGAACAGGGCACATTGTCTGATGGTGCAGATGGAATAGAACGGTTGTAGCTTAGCAAGGAAGAGTTGCTTAAATATTTTACAAATGTGCCATAAATAACTAGTTGTTTATGATACCTACCATATGAAACTTTCACTTTCCAGTATAGTAAACGTGGAGAGGTTCTGAATAAATTACATATGCCAATTGGTAGCAGCATGTCCGCGAAGAAGTCCAGTAAATCGAGCATTAATTCCGATGAGCGAGGTATGAGCCAGTTAACTAATATAACTTTGCTAGGAAACGCAGTTTTTGCACGAAACTTCAGTCACCAATGTGAAGAAAATGGTCTTTCTTCAATACCGGTCCTAAAATTCAAGCAAATAATTTTGCCTGAGAAGACTCCGCGGGTAAGCTAAATTTAGCACTAGTCAATGCCGATCCTCTGTTTGCGTCTATTCACGTTTAATTCATGTAAAAGTTAACTAAGATACTGGGTGACGTTTTATGAACTTCACACCTTCCCAACTGTTTAAAGATCTGAAGTAAAGTATGATGCTTCAATTTTCTGTCACGAAGGTTTATTTTTCATTTAACAATTGTAGAAAAACAACAAAAAAGAGTCGACACGAAAAACTGCAACGTCTATACAGCCAGGTACCGTGGACTCGGATGATTCTTCAGGTACATCAGAAGGTTGACGAATTTCGCAGTAGCATGTGATTTTTAATAAAAAATTTTGTGCAAAACTGTTCGAGAGCCTCTGCAAAATGCATGTACTTACGAAATCTTCTCCAAAACGAGGGGCTAATTCAGTAAATGAAAACCATTGTGGTTGGTACACTAAGTAACTAGCAGTTGTTTTTTATGTTAAAAACTACTGAAATGCGTAATTGGCGCAACTGAGAAACTTGTTTGAGCACATATTTTAACCTTCTATCTCTCGAATTTCAGCCGAATGTGTTACCACTTGGAGTATCGAGAAGACAACTGCTGGATTTGTGAAATTCAGTAGTTCTTTTTTCGGCACCAAGTGGATTTAGTGTTTTCAGCACTCGACAAAACCACAGAATACGTACTGCTTAATGGACAAAGAAAATGAATTTAGAGTTAGGCAACCTACATACTGATTGAATAAAAGCACCAAAGTTATAACTGTCAAAAGCATTTAAAAAACCTAAGTTGTCTTTTGTCGTAAATGCCTTGCTTTAATGACATCTCAGATCCGAAAACGTTCAAAATTGTGGACAATCTGCATTTTCAACAACCATGTGTTGAATTATGGCAAAAAACGCAGGGAAGCCCAGATACGGTGCAAGAAATACGGATAAGGGGTTTGTTGTTTGCTTCGGGCTCATACGATTTTTTTGCAGGATGGAAATGCGATGAAGATATCTACACTCAACTGAAGCCGTTGTTCCTCAATTTCAAGGGTTTGCACACACTTATGTACGTTTCAATACTTCAACTGCTAACGGGTAGAGAGAAGTTTAGATGACTGAATCTTTATGAGTAAAGGTTAGGTCTATAAAAATAGCAAAAGGACAATGAATTTCAGGATGTAGCACAAACCTGTTCTCTTATTTTGCAGTGACCCCTTGCTATGACACACTCCAACTTAAAAGGCTTCACTCTATCGTAGGTTTTATATGCCCAACTAGTTTTGTGGAATATCACCTTATATATAATAGAATATAAAGGCTTATGTCGTGTAACAATCTAAAAGATGTTGACAAATATGTGGAAGGGTTTATAAAGGCTTAAATGTACAAAAATAATCATGAAAATACATGTAGTTCTTACTTCGATGGGGGATCACTGTGCACATTGAATTTTACGAGTAGGAGGAATATTTCCGGTATATGGGGGAATACGACAAAGTGTCCCACTTTTATACCTGCATGTTAGGAAGGAAAACGGGGGATATGGTAGTTGGCAGAGTAATTTGATCATTCAAATTAGATTTTTCTTGTGAACTGTAAAAGGACACATTTTTTCAGCTCTTGAGCGCATGAATCATTTCGCGTAATACCCGCTTTTCTTTGGGAAAACGTTTTTGACAAAATGCTTTGAGAAAGGGAACAACAACTTACTGCTTCTTTGTAAAAATGCAGATTTTGGAATGCTGGACTAACGTCGCAGATGATAATTAATATTGGCTTCTTCGTCGCAGAATCGAAAAAGTTGAGGCAAGTTAAAAAATATTGCACTCATTAATATCAACTGTTGACCGAAGCAAAAACTTGGACGTCATATGCTGCAATATCTTAGCCTGCCAAGGCGTTAAAGTAGCTTTTATATTCCGTAAACCAGAATCTTGTCGTAGTACGCAACCGCTCATCTACTTATATGAGATAAGTGGGGGAGAAACATTCAAGGGGTATGCGTGTATGTAATCCAAAATCGAGGGTTTCTTTTCGAAAAGAATTTCTTCATTAACCCAATTCTTGGTATAATTACAATGGCAATGAGGAGAGTTATTCTAAAAATCCATGTTTTTCAAAAAGATATTTAAAAAAAACAAGGCGCGATAAAGCTACTTATGCTCACCACCTCGTCTTCTAAAGACATAAATATCTCAGATAATTTGCGGACAAACAAACAATACAGATTCTTATTAGGAATTATGGCTGCTTGTCAGAATTAAGTCCATGAGGTTCTCTATACTTTTCCGATACTTTCATCAGTAATTCTCTCAGTCCCGGGTTTTCCTAGTTCTCCCAATACGAAATTTATATTCAACAAGGTTCCCAATGTAAATTATATCTAAATTGACCAGGATTCTCTGTATTGATAAATTCGTAGAGACTGAGGAGCTCAGTCCACGAAACTGGACAAGAAAAAAGTAGAAGCGCTTGTGACAAAATGCAGTTCTTCTCAGTTTTGGTTGTCTAGTGTATAGAAATCCGCCAATACTCTCAATGAGGTGAGAAAGAACATGCTAAAGTATATTAATGTTACTCATAGCGGCTGAATTATGCCTCTCAGATGTTATGGAAATAAATCGATTTCGTTCTGAACAACTTTCTGCATTATAACTTGACATAACAGCTCAATCACTACATCATTAAATTCTGTATTACAAAGGTACACGTCAAGGGACAGAGTTAAAATCACAGGATTTTATTGCTCGTACTATTTCGACTCAAGGAACATAAATCCAACATTTTCAACTGACTTCACGATGCGTTGTCTGATTGCATGGTTTAGCCAAAAGTGCTTTGTGTGAATCAGTTTCCCAAATGGTTGACAGGAAGAGGGTCCGGTCGTATTTGCACATCAAGGCTGCAATTATGACTAATACTGATGGTCGACATACATCTCTTTTCCTTCAAGATAGTTGAAAGCAATGCGATGTTAAAAAATAAGCCGACGGTCACTCGAGACCAAAAAACCAACATAAGAAAGGAAATTAAAGAAATGACAAGAGATGGTTTGCAGTGTATTGTTATAAGCCCTGCAAAATATAGGGCGCATCCACTATAATCCTTCTACTGCTGAGAATACTTTTTAAAAAGGTGACGAACCATCTCGAAGTCAATAATGTTACAAATTTCTCGGCATCTTATTCTGCTGTTAATGGCCATTGCATAGTTTAAAGTTAGCGCTTCAATAAGAAAGCAGTCTGGGGCTGCAAAATGAGCCGGACACTTAAACAGCAGGTGGTGTTGATCAGGCATCCTCTTAGGTTCAATCGTTCACCGCGGACGTTAGATGACATCAAGGTCACTGGTATCGGTCCCGGGCAGCAGCCCTCTGCCGTATCGATCTTCCAGCCTTTATCGAACATCAGTTAACTTCGCCTGAGCAGAAGTCTGCCGTCTCAGTCAGCGAGTATCTGGGGGCAGATTTCTACGGTACCTGCAGTCGGTGCAGCGTACCAGACTGACTCCATGATTTAAAGGTATTCACTCAGAATAAACTGTCCATTCCGCGATATTAACCGTCGAGGGTGATCAGTCTGGCTTGAAGAAGGAGACACGATCGCTGGGAAAAGAGCTTTATTAGCCTGACGTTTCGGATTCCTGCTCGAAACCATCATCAGAGACAAAACAGATACTGTCTGGCTTGTCGCTATTAAACGCAAAGCCAATTTTCCAGAGGAACTTAAAGGAGAAGTCTGTGTATAACAAGTTGCATAATATCTCTCGGTGCAACCGGGAACAGATTAATGGGCTGTGGGTTTCTAGAATGTTGGTTCTCCGGCCAATAATTAAAAAAATGTTTCAGAAACGTTCACGCAGTTCGTCGACGGTTGAAATGTTTCAGCGTCAAAATCGGTAGGTGAAGCAGATAGTGGTCCCAAGAGCAATTAGTGACCGATCTCATGAAATTTTAACCGAAATCTTACAATGCATCTTCAGTTAGGAAGGATTACTTGAGTAGGCTTCCAACACTGACTATCGTGCAGCCTGAACCATTGGTATTTGAGACAAGCCAGGATTCTGGCCTTTGAATGAACTTATCCTTGGTCGCCCGAAGACTATGCACTTAGATAAAATGACTACTTAACTGGTACGTTGCTATCTGTTAATTTTTGACACTCGCAATAAATTCGCCTGTTTCATAGAAAACATACTCACAATGGCTTTTCTTACACTCGTTTGATAGTAAATCAATTCATTTTTAAATTTCATACTGAAGAAATGGGTATATTAAAGTTTCAAAGAAGTTTATAACTATGTGATTTTTAAGGTTTCTCCCTGTCCATTCAATAAGCATCGTATCTGCCTGTTAACTTATGCTCCCCATAAAGTGTACAGTCTAGCCCAAATTCATAGCAAATCGCATGGAGCATATATGGTATTTTCAGAACAGTACAGAGGAGTGCACAATTCTCCTTACACGGAAGACATACATCTTGTACACTTAAAAACCTAAACGTAAAGTTAACGGAAGGCCGGGCTCAAAAGTACTCTGGAATTATAAGACTTTAAAACCTTCATGTACTCCTCTTTTGAATATCGAATTTAAGGACATAGTAATTTGGGTGCTATCAATTGGGTGCAGAAAAGAATACTTTTGCCCATGTTTACTATAAATGTATGGGAGCTTATAAGTGCATGGGAAATCAGTAGAAAAAATCACACTGATTAAGTAGCCACTTTAACCAAGTCTTTTTTGCAGGCGATTGAAGAGAAGTTCATTCAAAAGTCGGCATAATGGAATAACAGATATCCTGGGATTACGCTGCACGATAATCAATGTTAAAACCCCATTTAAGTAATCCTTCCTAATCGAAGACAGATTTCAGAACTTCGATTAACATTTCACGAGATCGGTCGCTGACTGTATGTCGGTGTAAACAAAAAAAGCAAAAAAATAAAGAATGCTGCTTGAATAAAATGTAAAGCTCGCGCTTGTCAACATCAAGGATCGTGGACTGCACAGCAAAACGCATTTGCCAGACTTCGGTGTAGCACTAGCTAGGGCAACTTCCTTTATTCAGACGTGTTCTCTAAAAATAAAAAAAGTTATAGTACTGATTTGTTTGTGTGGATCACGTTTTTTTAGGATTCTAAAAGTGGAGGCTAATAACTTGATCGAACCGGAGACCTATCACGAACTTATTCCACCTGAGAACAGGTAAGCAGCTTTGTCCGCATTATTGACGGTAATCAAAGATAGCAGAAATTCTCTTGCTCAAAAACACGTAAAAAACAAAATTTTGCAGTTGACCGTTGTGTCTTTAGAATGATAACCATATTTTTAATGTCTCGATGAGGCACTTTTTCCCAGAGAAACTGTGAACTTTTTTAATAAACTCATTTAATGATGCATTTTAATATTTTTGAAATTCAGCAGAGCAATCCCGCGCAGTTAGTTGCTGTGAGCGGCCTTTGTTTTACACGAAGATACAGGGAATCGTAAGCCTGAACTACAAAACATGAGAAGATATAAGCCAAACATCTAAATCATTTTGGACCGACTATGTGAGCCATGTTTCATGTTCAGTGTCCTAGAAAGAAAGTCCCAAGGAAGACTGAGTAAGATGACTGGCGAAAAAATGTTTATGACCTTGAAAAGTACATATTGTTGCCGATGAACGTCATCGGATCCTGGGGACGAAGTTCAACCCGCGGCGTTCGGTACAAGGAGTCAGTCATAGATTTAACTGGTTACGCGGACCATGTTCTGAATACGAATTCCGGCTAGATCGCAGTTGGTAGCCAGGCCCCGTATTAGAGGTGGAGGGGGGTTGTTTACTGGGGCTATTTTGTGGGACTCCATAATCACATCTGGCCCATTGGACTTCCGTTTTACGTTTGAGGTTAGGATTAGGGTACCGGTTAATGATTCCCGATTTTCGGGTTAGGGTAATGCCTTCAGGCGGTCCAACTGCGATCTGGCCCGAACCAAATTTCTACATACACAGAAAAACAATTAATCTGCACTTTTGAAGCCGTTAAATCTAAGATCGTCGCTCTCCTCATGCCATCATTCGCATGTCTCCCTTGTAGTAGTCTCGTTCATCTGAGCCTGCGGTTTACCAAACTGAGTGCCGAGGGCATTCACGAAGTCGCTATACGTTTGGGCAACAGAACCAAGTGGAACAACTCTATTGTTTCTCTCGACCTCACAGGATGTGGGCTTACAGACCTTGGAATGTGCTACCTTGCTGAGGTACGTCGAAATATTAGGCGTAGTTGCAGTAGTCGAATTCATATCTGGTTTGCGATACAGGCCAAATTTGCTAATGTAATACAATTTAAATAATGAATCAAACGATACGGACAAGTAGATAATTATGCTGTAATACAATTATGCACATAAGATACGTTTCATATACACACAAGTGTAATAAACTATGCATTGATATGTGGGATTTAATACAATACATATTAAAAAGTCAGTTTGTAAACAGGTGTTTTCGGTAATCCATCGACAGGCCAATACAATGACTTGGAGAATAAACTTGTGAGTTATAGACAGGATTTAAATATGTCCCAGGGTCAGGGTTAGACAAACTCCTTGTTTCCACGCCGCCTGCATGACGGCGTCAGCATGTTAAGAACGGTGGAGCTGGGGTGGGGGGACAAGGGGAGGGGTTCGGGTTAGGTTGTGATCGTTGTCTCTATGTCAAACACGCGGAGTGTGTGTGTGTGTGTGTGTGTGTGTGTGTGTGTGTGTGTGTGTGACCGTTCTCAGGACTTCGGGGCGGCGTGCAATCACCACCTAGAGTCGGCCAACAAAGATAGACTGCCTATGTCAACGTCTTCCGACAACAGAGTGCTGGATTCCCTAATTGAATGGCCACCGCCTCAGCTATTGCTAGAATCCGTTTGCGTCGGCTTTAGGGTAGTGTGCTGACGCCCGGTAGATAACTTCAAAGGCTTATCTGACGTTGTGTTAGTGGTTCTTATCGGCTATATGTGCAAGAATTGAACTTCAAATCGACCTATTTTGCCCTTTATCTAGCCAGGCAGACATGTGTTCGCGTACCCTCTTTTCTAGACGCCTCGTTGTACGGTCAATAATTCCTGTTCCACAGGAGCAGGTGGGTGAATAAATACCTATCGATGTGGCCTACAGAAGCAGACGGTCTTTGTCCCCCAACCGTATGTAGTATGGGAGAGATTGCGAAGAATATGCGCAAGTTCGCCGGGGGAAGGAACTCATGTTAGCCGTTCTTAGACGTCGTCCTACTATACAGATACATCAATAGATATGGCGTCTTCTTCGAAATACTGCACTGGACCTATGGCACTCATAGTTTAGGATATTAGCAGTGTATTTGTACAAGGTGCCCCAAAACGGACCACGAGGTAGATGCGCTGAACCAACGCGGGGGCCACTTTGGGATCTGGCGAGCGCTATTGGAAATACACACCCACTATAAATACCAACATTCGGGGTGCGGTGGCAGGCCCAGTTGTCGGCTCACGTCGAGCACATTAGGATCTCTGCCGCCGCCTTGTTGTTGTTGTCAGTTAAAATCCCGGTTAAATATTTGTTGTGGACCAGAGGGCGTGGCGGTACACTTAGGTGAGGGTCTGTCCGCGCCAACCACCTGCGCAGTCTCCTGCCTCGGGTCTTCTTGATTATGTGCTGACACCGGGCCCAGGTTGGGAGAGAGGACGGTGTGCGGTAGATGCTACGCAAGTTTGACACCACTAAAAACTAATTCGCGCACAAGCCACCGTGCCTGCTCTCACGGTGGACACCTTCGATCACGACGGTCGAGCAGTCGTACGTGTACAAACAGTGGTGATGGGAAATCTCCCATGAGTATGGAAAAAATCAATAAATGTTAGCTCACTAATCTCCTTTTAAATTTTTCAGTGGGAAATTTCGCAAATCCAAAATTTTAGTCCATTAGCCCAGGGAAATGATTGCAGGGGTAGGAGGATGCTGGATTTACAAATTTTAAAATAGCTGCGTGACCCTACTACTGCGTTCTTCGTCCTGCGGACATACGACAGCTGACAGAGATCAAGGTAGGCATGATGTCGGGGGGCAAATAAAACTAGAACACACGCGAGAACTCATTCAGCCGCAGCCACTTACATTTTCCATTAATAGAGTAGGTTCGTAAAACTAGTCAGCCTGCAACACAATTTTATAGTATTTCAGATACCTCAAAATGCCGGCTTTCAAGTGATCTTCCTTCCGACTGCATACAGAAACTATATTCTGTAAAAAATCACTACTTAAGTAGCATGAATTTTCTCATTGGTTTTCGATGCCCTTAAAAATTCAATTATCTTCCATGGAGAACATGCATAAAAATATTCATTCTTTTGCTCATTAGGTAGAGCATTACGTCTTCTTCCAATCTTATATTCGAAGGAAGGGTATAATTCGGCTTTATAAAACTTATCCAATTCCCGAATAATTTTGAACCCGCTCTACCGTTACACTTGGATTCAGGGTTTGAAAACTACAAGCCGCACACTTTCCGCGTACGGAAAACCACACATTTCTCTATTGTAGTAAAGGGGGACCATACAGTTTCATAAAGTTTAACAGTGGATTTGATCCATATTGTTAAGTTTACAAGCCACATTGGTAAATACATTTATGAACGGCCATTTCACGGTATTTAAAAGTCCCACAATTAGAAACTTTTTAAAAATCGAATTATGCGCCTCCTTCGAGTAAAAAATTAGAAGAAGACGTAATCTTCGATCGAATGAGCAAAACAGTGAATATTTTTATGCATGATTTTCATGAAATATAACTGAATTTCTGAGGGCATCGAAAATGAATAAGAAAAATGCATGATACTTAAGTAGTCATTTTTCACGGAGTGTAGTTTTTGCATGCAGCCGAAAAGGAGTTCATTCAAAAGCCAACATCCTGAGGTAACTGAAATATTATAGAATTATGTTGCAGACTGGCTAGTTTTACAACCCTGCTTAATTAACCTCTTCGAAACGAACACGCATTTCGGAATTTCGGTTGACATTTCATGAGTTGGCCCACCAACTGTAGTTCCACTGAACAGAGAATAATCACAATGTTCTCCAGAAAGGGATCACGAGCCGATATGGTCGTGGGGATTTCAAATAATCCATTCTTAAGGAAGCAATTGTCTTGTAAGGCACTTATATCTGATTTACCTACCGTGTCACAATTTCCCATTGCCACTCTCCTTTTCGTGGGAGTACCTCAACAACCATATTAAGAAGGAGCTACTACACTCTGACTCTTAGTTCTAAAATGAAACGAGTTGCCCTATCAGTTGGCAACACCCCAAAACAAAACTGATAGCACGTCTGTTTTTATAGTGAAGAGCGTGCTGATGGGCTTTAAAGATAGATTCTCTATTATCGGTCTTAATCTTTACTTGATCTCAAGCTCCCAATCTCACGTAAATGAGGCGGACATGTTTGTGCAAACGGTGTTTCGTCAATCATACCGACGCTGACAAACTTAATCGCACAGACCCTGGCGAAGCATTGAATGACGTATTGTTACGAGGGGTCGTGCATGTGCATGTGTTAGATTATGCTTCTTTGTAGCCTGATGCTTTTATACTGCGCAACTACATTTTCGAGTTGTAGTGTACTATCGCCAACTAGAGACAGATAGAGCTGAAGGCTTAAAAAGTGTTCTTAATAGCCAACTCACTATTCGTGAGGGCACTTTTACGATTTCGGCTTTTTTGGTCACTGCCATTCAAAGTCACATTGCAAAGGTGCCATCGGAAAAAGTTCTAAAATTTAGAAATTAGTGGAAGTGAAAACCTCGTTGAATTATCATTTTGGCCCATTTTATGCACGCTTTGATTGCCCGTTATGCTTTCATTCTTTCCGGGATAACCATCAAGTTTGTCAAACATTCCGCTTATGACGGACGTGAGGCCTATTAGGAATTTTCATATTAGTTTTCATGGAAATGTGCCATAGGATCCTACACAATTCACAGAATAAGTGAAAATATTTCGAAATACTAAGCGACAATCATTGTTAACTTTTATTATTTCTGCGGCGTTTTTTGCTGCTGTACTTTACTAGTTGCTTTAGTAAATAATTGCTTACTTATGAATCGCAAACTTAGATTTTCCTCAAATTTTGAACGTCATTCGCTTCGCCAGTGATATCAGGAGGAAAACGGTTTATTTAAAGTCGCAGCACTTGTGGGCAATGTATGGTGCTGGTAACAGCCGGGGCGGTGACCATTCGGTTAACGAGTCCAGCGCTTTGTTGTCGTCAGAAGACTAGGATACAAGTGGTGTCTTCTATGGCCGACTTCTGGGGGTGATCGCACGTCGCCCTGATGACAGTTCGACCGTCGATTACCACGATGCCAACTGTGTACTACACAGATAGGTGCAGCAGACACGGTGACTTGCGCGTGAATTAGTTTATGGTGACAGTGGACTTGCGCAGCATCTACCGCACTCTCTCTTTCCCACTTCCCACTTGGACTCAGTGTCAAGACGGAGTGAAGAAAACCAGAGGGGGAGGAGGGCGCAGGTGGGTAGCACGACCGGACCCGCACCTAGGCGTGCCACCACACCCCCTTGGTTCACAACAAACACTTGGTCAGGATTTTCCACCAACAGCAACACCCCGACAATGGTCAGAAGGACGAGGATGATAACTGGGCAGCCATATCCACCACCTGTATACCCAGTGGGAGCGTAAGCGCATCTACCGGCAGGGAACCCAGGTGTCAGGTAATTGTCAGCGCATACCAGGCTGCGAGGTCCATGGTTTGCTAGTACTGGCATAACACACGCTTTCAAATCTTTTGACCTAGAAGGGCGACACGTGGTCCTGAATTTAGTGTGGGCTGTCATCCTTCAAGTTTGGGTGATCGAACAGTCGTCAACTGAGAGGCACCACCAATAAGCACGTCGCCCTTACTCCCTGATGACAATCATGAGTAGTCCGCAAGCATAGCACAACAGTTGGACAGGCGATCTCGACGATGTCCACCGTCTGTTCTACAGCGAGGTGGGAGCATAGATGGTGGCTTGCGCCTGAAGTAGTTTATAGTTATAGTGGGTTTGCGAAGCACCTACCGCACTTTTTCCCCATACCTCGCCTGTACTCGCCGTCAAGATGAAGTCAACATAACCGAAGGCATGGCGGGGTGGGGGGCGGGCGCAAGTGACTGGCACGGCCGGACCCACGCCTAGGCGTGCCGCCACACCCCTTGGTCCAGGACGTACGCTAGTTAGGATTTTAAACGCAAGAAGGGAAGAAGGAAGATAGTGTTTGGCATACTGACCACTCATACCCTACCCCCCCCCCTCGGCATCCCCTCCCTCAGCCACGAAAACCACTGCACTCCGACTTCATCACGCGGGATGCGTGGGAGCGAATGTAACTACCCCTCCTAAGACATAAAAACCTGTCCTTGGCTCATACGTTTACCGTCTATGTAATTTCAGTAACCCAATGATGAATTACCGAAAACATCTGTCTGTCAGTTGACTTTTACAAAGTAAGTTTTGCCCGAAGACTAATTAAAACCCCATAAGGGAGGCAATTTGTGAAAGACGAACGCTTACATAAAACAAAGATAAGGCAGTTTTGACACAATGTGACGTGACCTTTACGTCTACCGACTGAATTTGTCGTAATTTCCTTTATTTCGCGAATACTGTTAAGATAAAGGAACAAAGACGAACGAGAATAGTCATTCACAGGAAAACGTTTGTTAAAATGACTCTCGGGCGATCTCAAAAGAGCTCCCTGTCGTCTATGTTCGCTGTGCTGACCTGACATGTGTCTAGCCTCAAGCTAGGAAAGGTTTTAGCTTCACTTTTCACGCTAAAAATTATTGTTTTGGTAACCAATGCGTGACGCTTTTGGAGTAAAATTTTCAAGGTCAATTTTGGCTCTCGTAGGCCCTGCGAACAAACCGACGTCTGAAGTTCTTGACGCTGGCAAACAATCAAATCGGTGACCTGGGAGTGATGGCTCTGTGTGAGGTAAACATAAAAATGCAACACTTCTGACTCTTTGGCCTAACAACCGAAGGGAAAACATGACAGGAGATGTGAAAAATATACGCTCGAATTCTGTCAAAATGGAGAACCCATAATTAAATTTGGAAGTAAACGCCTAAATAATCTGTGCTATGTTGATGTCAGCCAGACGTTCTACGCAAAACCTACTCAGGGACTAGAAGTATTTTTTTTCAAAAAACAACCAATTAGAGTATTCGCTCTTTCAGAGCTTATTTTCGGGAAAGATGTCGGCACCTGAATGGTTACATGCGGGCCACCTATCCTAGTATGCAAACTGCCCTCCGGCAGGCTTAGCTGCCGTCAAAGGTAAGAAATATTTTTTTCTGCATGTATTTCCCACAAATTCGATACATACTGATGCTAACCACAGCTGCTTTTCACGGATGGGATTAAAACAAGTGTCTGCCTGTGGGTAGACAAGATTTTGTTTAAGACGCATTCTTATTCGACGCTGACTGACAGTGAGGCCCTCTGTTCTATACGGACTGCTGGACGGACTACCAACGGTACGTTTTGACTATGAAATTTACGCCCCGGGGAAGACAATGGAGGAAGACGCGTACCGACGGGCTCCGCGCTGGAGATCAAAGTAAAACAGGACTTTTACATACCACCTTTCAATCAAGATAGATAAATGGACCCCACACAAATGTGACTTTAAATATTTGCCACGGTGACCGACAGGGCGTGGGCCCCCGACTCAACGACCAAAGACCCACGGTTCAAGTTCCGCGTTTTCCTTGTCAAGTGCAAACGGCTTTTAAGATAATTCATTGTCTCACTTAGCTAAATATTGTAATACGCTCAAAATTTACTGTCAAATCCATCCAGTAAGCCGCTACTTTACTTCCGCTAGAGTATGGTATCATTAAAAACTTGTTGCATGCACACTGGACAACATATGGAGAGAATTGCAAACTCAGAGCTTGCGAATATATAAATCCGCCTACACTACTGGGATAATTTGTGCTCTTTTACTTTAAAGATCCTGGTTTTCAGTTTATTTGTCAACGATAATAGGTAAGGCCTTCGAAAACCCTATCGATTACATGTCAGCCCGTTAGATATAACTGTACACCAACAATGAGAATTGTTGCTATTAAAACAGTACTCGATTCATTTGAGTAGCATTGTTTCCGAAAATTCCCGGGGATCGCGGTGTATTTAGTTCATGTTCAGCTTGTCGAGGGAAAACAGGGGACACAAATAATCATCCAAACGTTTCTTGAAGAATTGAAGAGACTTCGCGTCCACGACCGTTTGGGAGAAATCGTTCCATTTCTCCACAACCCTTTGTGTGAACAATTCAGAATAAAGATTCAGCCTGGACATATTTGTGCGTATATTCCTCGAGCGACCACGAAGTTTGGGTGAAAGGTGCCACTGAAAAGTGTCCTCAAAGCTAAGTCCATCAATCAGTTCCTGAAAGGTTTGGAAATAAAAGACGTTTCTGGTGATTGAAGAGGCCCCAACTTCGGCACGTGAGGAATAGTCTTACTATATACAAGGTGAAGGTTGCGCGCTGACCCTCTGGGTACACTACCCACCTACAGTCACACTTGTTTAACTTTAAATGCGAACTTCCCAGACGTCATCTGCATACACGCAGCTTGAAGTGCAAGTTCAGCGATGGGCAAGTTTTCGACAAAAAGCTGTTTGGGACTCCTTTTGACGAACTGTCACAACAGTCGGCCAAGTTGACTACCAACACAGAAATTTATTGTCAATTGTATAATTTCGCTCAACGGTTCCAGTGCTTCCCCTGAACTCTAGTAGGTGTAGGAGTTCCGTCGGACAATCTTCAAAGTATTTCGAGTTTTTGAAGTACACGGATAAGTACTATGCTTCGGGTAAAAGTAAGGATACACCAATATGCATAGAAGGATCTAGCGAGCATATCTGAGACCAAAGCATGCAACTGTTGGTGATCCGTCTCATGAAATGCTAGTGGACGTTTTGAGATGCGTTTCCGATAGGCAAAGAATACTTAATTGGGTTGTAATACTAATTATCAGGCAGCATAGTTCGAAGATACTTCAGTCACGCTAGAATACCGGCCTCCGATTGAACTTTTTTCCATCACCTGCAAAAATCGCATTCGGAAAAATGACTACTTAAGTACTAGTGACTTTTTCCACTGTCTTCAAGACTCTTACATTTTCAATTACATTGTATAGGAAAAAATGGTCATACATATGCTTTTTTGTCCTCTTTTAATAACAGATCACGTCTTTTATATTCGAAAATTGGGCATAATGAGGCTTTAAAGTTATTCATTTTCCAAATGATCTTGGCCTTGACTTGCCTTTGCATTAGCGTTTGGAGTTTACAGTCCGAAAAGTGTATAGTTCTGCGTGAGAAAATCATGTATTCCTCAATGTCATAGAGACAGTGCTGTATGGAAGTCGAAATATTTCGGAATAGATGTGAATCATCTTGTATAGTTCATGAGGAGCGTTAATAAACATGCAGATACGATGGGCATAAAATTCTAATAATGTGAACTGCTACTAAATTAGTGCAAGAAAAAGTGGCTAAGACCACATTTTACATAAAATATTTCTGAAATACAAAATGCGCCTAGAGCCAATGCGAAGAATTCACACCACTTAAACGGCTAATTGCACTGTGTGGTTTTTGTAAGCGGCCGAAAAGAGGCTGTTTCAAAAGCCGGCATCCTGATGTAACCAAAATACCTTCGCATTATGCCAAAATATAGACAGTAGTGCTACCCCATCTACATAATCCCTCGTGATTGAAAACGCATTTCAGAATTTCAGTTAACAGTTAATGAGATCGGTCCGACAAAACCACTCCAAAATTTCCATTGGTCTGCTGTCAAGAATTCAAAAACCTTATTCATTTTTAATGCGGTACCAAATGATCATACTTCCGTCTTCGGCCTCAAAGTGCAAAGTCTATAAAACGTTACTCAAAATTATAGCCAAACATAGTTCACAATACTGACTTAAAAACTGTTATACTTCAGGAGATAATTAACACCGTTGTCCGTGTACGTGGGACCTTTTCTCCGAATATCGGAACACACGATTATGGCTAAACTCCGACAACTAGGGGGTTTTTCATAGGCAAAAGTGTCAGAGTTTGAAAAAGGAGCAAATCGCCATGCGCGCTTTCTCCAAAATGAAACGAAAAGAATAATAACCTGGTCAAGAGTCAAAAATTCCCAAAAAGAAAACGCACAATCGGCGTGCTTAAAAAGCCATCATTGACAAACAAACAATTATTTTGACAGTTTTCGTTTAATTTTACACAATAAAATAGAGGAAGTTTTCGACTCAGAACTAGTAGGACCAGCTTATCCTGTTTATCTTACCGTAGAAAGGCTTCCGATCGTATTTTTTTCTACAAATGTCTTATCATGGCTTGTTAATTTTCCCTGTTTATCTGTTTAGTGATTTGTAACTTTGAATGTATTGTATCCAGACAATTACCAAGTTCTTCCTAACGGACGACGAGTTGGCTTTACGACGAATCCTTCAGGGAGAATATGTGAGTCAAAGCAAGCAAATTTGTCCGAGAGGTCGCTTGTCAACATTTTTAGCTAGGAGTTGCCAATTTCTCTCTCTATCTCTCGGGAGTAGCTCAGAAAAGCCACCGGTTACAACCCTGCCCTGTATCCGTGTGCCCTCAGAAAAAACGCTATTGCCAAACCATAACCGGTCTGCCCAAAAGATAAAAACCCCTGTGCTTACCATACGTACTGGCTGCAAACTGGATTAACTTACGGAGAAAAATCATACTCACCTGTGAGAATGCTTTCGTATCTAGGAGTCTGGAAAGGTTTGCTCTAAATGCGAAAAATTGAACAGCACACGCTTACATTCCATTTGTCCAACCTTCCTGGAGAGCAGGGTCTCCAATTTAATATTTGAAGACTTTAACAGGTTGACTTAAATTCGTAAATCAAGACCCTAAGGGCTGCTTACTTTTCCTCTTCGATAAATTAGTCTGAAGAGTTATGATCTGATTCGCGTGTACATCTTTCCCAGCTCCATAAATTCTCTTCTACACTTTATTCGTCTGTCGGCTCTTTTTCTCAACCGAGAAACTGAGGCTGTTGTTTTCACTCCTGCATTGTGGCCACAAAGCTAAAAAACTAATGTTTAGTCGTCTTCATTCGACATCAAATAAATAAAGCAGTAATAAAGTTGCAAGCGACTCATTATCTTAAGAAGTACCAGTCATAATTACTCTCATTCGGATTCACGCTGACATTCGCTAAAACGTGCGCTGTGTTTGAAAGGTTGTTTATTGACTCTTATTTGTGGCATAACAAGTGTTTATTGGTTCCGAAAGAGATTTCAGAGACCAAGAAGTACGCTGTTTGGCTAAATTTACTGTAATCGGCGGGGTCGTGCAACTTCAACAGGACCTGTATGTGTGAACTGCATATAGGCGTAATGGGAGTGGGCACTTTTAAAGGATAGTATATTTTCAAGGGCTATGACAGCGTTTCCTAACTTATGTTAACTTTGTTAAGCTTTTCACGGAAACTCAAGGCAGGGACATCGCCGAAGGATTCAGCCTCATTGACCTACCACAGAAGGATGGTTCAAAACTGGCAGCCGCAAAAAAGGTACTGTACGCATGTCAGTTTACAATTCAGGAAAAACTGCCTCTTCCCTTTATTAAATTTTTGAAGTGTAGCTCGAGCAAACTGTCAGCGCATCACAAATTGACCGGGCTTCAGGACTTTAGTGCACGTTTTTGTGTCAACCTGAAGACTTTTATTATTTCATAAATGAACATGAAAAGTTACTTGACTAAATGAACATTTAGAGTTTTGAGAATAAAACCAGATATTTTATTGTGAAGTCAAATTTCATACAAACGTCCTTGCGAAACGGTGTGGGCACCGTGTTAAATTAAAGGAAGCATTTTGATATTATGCAGCCACTCTTCAGCTTTTCTTTGAAGACCTGGGATCGGATTAAGCACACTTGATTAAAATGATTAAAAAATAGAAAAATGATGGTTTGCGTCAGAATAATCGTTGAAATTAGTTGGGGGAGCGCATGCGCGGTCAAAGTACTTTTATATATTTTCTAAGCTTGCTTTGGAGAAAAACTAGAGGAAATGAATATTCATTTAGCCGAAACCATAGCGGAGAACTTTCCAAAAAGAAAACGCACTGGAGAAGGCACATGACATCATGAACATGCCTATCGCATGCCTTGGCTGTAAAAGTTGGTATTCTCATGCAAGTAAGTTCATTGTTTGAACAAGTCCCCAAGCATGATCCAAATTCTAGTCTGCGAAAACATATGCCCGGGACTCAATAAATGAGCAAAAACTTTCAAGGTTTCGCCAACTTTGAAAATGTTGGCAATTATAAACCGCAGAACTTGTAGTTTCGAGTAAGTTATCGAAAACACCGAAAATCGCAAAGCATTCCTTAATGTTTAAGGAAGGCTTTCGGACTCGATGAGTCCCCCCATAAGCGAAAAGTACAGTAGTTTAACGTAAGCAAAATTCTCCTACTGCACAGGAGATTGTGTGCTTGTGACTGCCTCTCCTGATAATATTTTAACTTCTTAGTCACTGCTCGACCCCTCAGCATGTGACACCGTGAGGACGTTTATCGTCGCAGCATGCGCGCCCATGAAATCGAACAAAATCCCCAACACGGTCAATAGCGTCTAAAAAAGGCAAAAGACAATCCTAATTACAATTTTTAAACATTTTGATACAAATAAGCCGCCTTCTGGCTGTCACCATGCACATTACACTAACCCTTACAGGATATTTAGCCGAAGAAGGGTGCAAAGTGGTTGATTCAAAAAATGTTCGCCCATACTGTTTCCTTATTTTAGCTGTTTATATGAACACGGATTATATAGTTCAACAATTTGAATTTTACGTAATTCTACATTGATTTCATTAAATTTTCGCATTCTCGCTTATCCTAAAACAGTTGGTGATCACCGAGAAATGAAGTATTCTGCCGAACAGTTCTGTTGAGCCCGCGTTTTCCTAAAAAACATTTTATTATCAGTAGTGCGTTACGGTCGATCTATTTAGTCGGTCTTTGAGTTATAAGAAACTTATTGTGAAGTTACGCATACCTCAGAAATTAGGTCACGGGCGACATGGCTTTTGTCACTTTAGATTTGAGTCAATGTAATCACTTTATTCTGAAGAATTACCTTTGCTCCCTAAACCTGGAGGTTTTATGACGAATCAATCAGAAGGACGTTTAATTGATCTGCTGTATATTGGCCACTTCGGTTAAAAAATCATGCATAACTTGAGCCAATTTTTTATATACCACTCTCCACTTTGTCGTGCCATTTCCCTTCTGTTTCTTCAACAGGCAGCAAGGGCGACGACAAGGTCACCAGTTGCTTCCAAAAGAGGTAATTTTGTCCGGGCAGACATCTTTGATCTGATCAATATTTCCGGCAAAATATATACCCGCTTACTTTGTTAGAGGGAAAATACCGACATTCGGACGAAGAATAGGTAAGAAAAGAATAGTCAGTTGGGCATTGGACTAAGGACCCCCGTAGTAGGGTAACCCTGCGCTAAATTCCAGGGATACCAATTCCCATGTCCTAACTCTAAACCCTACTCCCTTAACATGACCTCTGCTGCTTACCTTCATAACCCTTACCGCCTTGGCACAGGCCGCTTGTTATACGGATCTCCGTGCCTTATCAAATAATATTTACATCGAAGCGATTACCGTGGGAAAGTGGGCCTACCTTTTGCGCCCCTGCGTCCAGTCATCCTAGATACTGGGGCGTAAGGCGGAAGATGAGATTTCAGTATGCAAAATTTTAGTTTTATTTGTAGAAGTAATGATCCATAAAGATGTCTGTCAGTGTTTTTACGAATAAAGCGAAATTCCTTCTTCCAGTGAAACCAACAGACGTTATCTTTTGCTGAAGTCCCATTCGTTGATTAAATATCTACATATTTAATGCTTTAATGACAAGAAAGTTTCCAACTAGTTTATTCCCGAGAAGAATTTCAAATAAATGTGATTCGGTGTGGCTGAGTCGAGGCTCATAATGTTGGTAGTCACTTGGATAAACATAAGTAAATGGAAAACTGTTGTAATGAACACCTTCGAGGGAAAAAAATAAGATCGTCCCATTTGAGGGCTTTTGATTTAAAATGGTGCCCAGACACCGAACTGTCTCCTCAATGGATTTTGCAACCAGCTCCAGAGTCACAATAGGCATAAATGTTTCAGTCAGACGCCGAAGACCTTGTCATACTGATATTTTCTGGGATTTTAGTGCCTCGCGAAAAAAACAAAAATCTTCAACAACGAAGACCGACTCGCGAATTCGGAAATATAAAGGGTCTAGGGGAGACGATAACGCGGGAGGTGAGGAAGGCTCTGCGCATTTTACATCATAAAATATAGACTTTGACTTCATCCATCTACCTCTTGGAAATGTTGACTTCCTTAATTTACACCTTTCTTGTATCATCTAAGCGGTTATGTCAAATGTCATCATTTTTTCTAGCAAATTTTGGACAGTTTGGAGTCAAAACATCCCTTACTGGCTGCTGGAGAAAATATTCCGCCCCATGGACTACGAATACATGGGAACTACGAAGTTTCCATGATAAACTTGGCGCGTATGTTGGACTTATTTTAGTTATTTTTGATACTCCGTGAAAATACCCGTTCGCGCATCCTTTCGACTGTAGCTCCTAAACCTAAAATGTCTTTTAGCATGATTGCTCAGCAAACGTTCTAGACAAAACACGCCAAATATATGTCAGCTGGGAAAACCCCAGTCGCATCATTCTTCAATTGAGAAGGCAGTTACTAGCTTGAGGGATGGAAACAGCACGCGCTTGCTCTGTTGAAGTTGGTGACAATGTATTTCGCAGATTAAGAGATAAAGATAAAAGTCCGCGATTCAAAAACCTAAAAAACCTGTTATTCGGTGATTTCGCCTCGGGATAACAATTTCAACTCAAACAAACGGAGTGCATGCAGTAGATGTGCTATCCCATGAAATGTTAACCGAAATCCCGAAATGTACTTTTGGCCAGAAGAGATTAGTTAGATAGGGTTGTAATATTAATTATCATGCGGCATCATCCTAAGACATTTCAGCCACACCAGAATGCCGGCCGCCTGCCATGACCACTTTCTGTAAAATGGCTACTAAAGCAGTACGAAATTCATCCACTGACTTTCTATGCTCTTGTAAATTCCATTATATTTCAAAGATAACGTGCACAAACGTATTCTCTCTTGTGCTTCTTTGGTAGTAAGTTGTGTATTCTTTAAATTTTCTACTTGAAAAGAGAACATCCTTCGGTTTCCAAAAACATTTTCAATTTATGAATGATACTTTACCTCACCTGCCGTTATAGTTGTGTTCAGGGGTTCAAAATGAATGCTGTGTGCATTCCGTCAAAGATATATCATATATTTTCCTATGTTGATAGAAAGAAACTATATAGGACTCGCAAATGGATATGGGCCAGATTGTATACTATATAAGCATCAATAATAAACGTGCTGATGCCATGCTGTGCGGATGGCAATTTCACAGTCTTAAAAAATCGAATTAAAAACTTTTTTCTAAAACCGAGAGATAGACTTTACTTAGATATAAAATTTAAAGGAGACTCAAGTTGCTACCGAATAAGCAAAAGGAAGTTCACTCTCCTGCATGCTTTCTATAAAATATAACTGAATTTATGACGACACAGAAACTCAGTGAAGTTTCATACTACTTAAATCATCCTTTGTACAGGGTACAGTTTTTTTCAGACGGCCATAAAATGAGCTCATCCATTAGCTGACATCCTATTGTGATTGAAATATCTTAGGTGCGTGATAATTAATATCACAAGCCTAGTTAAGTAATCTTTCCGAATCTAAAACGCAAATCAAAATTTCTGTTTAAGAGTTCATGAGATAGCACAACTACTAAAGCCGAAAGCACATGAGGAACGTTGGGCGGAATCCTTCACATTTGTGTCAGACAGCTAGCTAGCATACACCATGGCAACTCCTAGACCCATTTCTTTCGTCGACCGTAAAAGCCGTAAGCGTTGCACGTGTCCCGGGATTCCATTGACACGATTGATGAGACTGGCGGGGAGGGGTGTGGCAAGGGGCGCTTGAAAGCGGCAACCAGTATAGCAGTTTTGGAGCAGTTCGATAAGGTGGTATACGCGGAAATGCTTTGTATCTTTGAGACAGTTTCGCTCACTGTTTAATCAGAGCAAACGCTTTGACTAAGTGCGACCCGACTAAAAATAATCTCCGCCCAGACACACGGTTGATGCCCTTTGTCAAACAGTTGGCGTAAGACTTTGATCCGTGAGAGCGTAGGTGTTACATTCAGTCCATGATCGGACATGATAGACATCCTTGATAAAGGATGACTCTAACTTTCTAGTTATTGTCAATGAGCACGAACTTTACAATGCCAATAGAAACGAAGAGACGAGTCCCAGGAAGCAGTCTTGAAGAAAAAGAAGACACGATCGCCACGACAAGAGCTTTATTAGCCTGACGTTTCGGATTCTTGCTCGAATCCATCATCAGAGACATAAGCAGATAAGGGTGGTTCATGCACATGCGGCTGCAGTATTTATAGGATGCAGTAGCCATGCTACCGCATACCTATGAATATTCACAGCTCCCTCCCCTTTATCAGGGATCGTTGCACGTGGCGTGATGGCCGACATTCGCGTCGTTAATTGCTGCAATTTCATCACGTGCGTTGGATGTTGGTGTGATGATTGCTCGACCATCTGACGCGCTGACCCGGGTGTTGGGAAGAGTGTTCACCAGTGCGCCCCCCGCGTGGCCAATTACTCCGTCCAGACGAAGTCTCAGCACGGTGTATTGAATGGGAAAATCATTGCACTTGTTAATAGACTGGGGGCCAGTAAACCATGACTCAAGCAGCTCCCGCATCACGCGGTTGTCACCTCTTGCGAGAATTTCGGCCTCGTCAAATTTGAATGTGTGGCCGGAACCCTTCGAATGAGCCGCAACTTGAGAGCTGGCGTAATTTCTCCGCACCGCTGCAGCGTGTTCGGCCATTCGCGTTTGGAGTTGTCTTCCGGTTTCTCCGACGTAGTTGCTTTGTCCGCAACTGCACCAGATGCGATAAACGACTCCAGACGTTTCTAGCCGTGGCAGCGGGTCTTTCGGTTTCATTACCAGACGCCTGATGGTTCCCTCCAGTCTGTGTGCAACTCCAACCCAAGTGATTCAAGAAGGCAGTCGACAGCTTCCGAAACGTTCTTGGCATATGTAAGCGCTCGCCAAACCTTGGTGTCCGTGCGGTTAGGCACTTCGTCCCATTTGCGTACGCATCGGTTGACAAAGCTGCGCGGGTAGCCACTGGTTTTGAAGACCCGTCGGAGATATTGTAGTTCTGCAATCTTGTCTTCCGACTCACTGCAGTGCGTTTCGACACTGTTGGCCGCCTTCTCGCACCATATTCGAGTAGGAATCCAAAACGGCAGGCTAATAAAGCTCTTGTCCCCGCGATCGTGTCTTCTTCTTCTTCTTCTTCTTCTTCTTCTTCTTCAAGAATTTTACAATCTCCTGAAATATTGATCAAAACTGTGAAATACGTATTCAATTAGGAAGAACTACTTCAGTGTGAAAGTAATACTGACTATCTTTTGGCATACTCAAGTAATATTTTAGGCATGCCAGGATTTTGGCTTTTGAATTCTTTTCTTTTTGCCCGTCGATAACAATCGCAGTCGGCCAAAATGGCAACTTATCTAGTATGCATTTTCCTATAACCACTTTTGATGACCTTATAAATTCAAAAAAATATTGCTAAAATGCATGCATAAAAATATTCTTTCTTATGCTCGAAGAAAGGGTAATTTTTAGTCTTAAACAGACTCCTCCGTTTCAGAATGATTTTGAGCTCGATCTGTCATTTCATTTGCGCTTAGGGTTTTTAGTCTACTAACTGTATGCTGCCCACGTAACGAAGAACATTCATTTTTCATATCTGTCAAGTAGGTGCCATATAGGGTTCATAAAATCTTGCAACGGAGGTGGACTATGTTGTTTACCTTACGAGGAGGGTTATTGGACACACAGATTCAATGCTATTTGGACGAACATCGCACAATCCTAAAAATCTCATAATAAGAGACTTTTTAAAAACTGAAATATGTCACTTCTCCGAGTATGAGATTTGGGAAAAGACGCGGTCTACTACCAAATAAGTACAAGAGATGATATTTTATGCATTTTCCCTGCAAAATATATCTGGATTTACAAGGGCATCTAAATACAATAGTAAAGACGTCTACTACTTAATTAGTCGTCTTTTACCGGGTACAGTAATTGCAGACGGCCGAAAAGAAGGGCATCTAAAAGCCAGAATCATGGTGTGTCTGAAATATTTGCGGCACCCTGCCGCACGATAATCGGTATTACAACCCCACTTAGGTTATCCTTCCTACTCAAATGGGCAGTTAACAATTTCATTCAACATTTAACGAGATCGGTCACTGACAGTATGTCCATCTCTGATTTCACCGCGTCTAGTTATTTTCTTTGCCAATGAATGCCAAGGACACCGTATCCACAACGGTCGACTTGATCGACTGTGAAAGTGAGTTTGCTTCCAACATCCTAGGTGAAACTATTGGCCATTTTTTTCAGAATTTAAATCTTAGTTGAGTGGTAGACACAAGATGCAGTGTGCCGCTAAACGAGTCAATAAATACTCGACCTTGCCGAAGTGACATTATAAAGACTTGAGTATCAAAGGTGTTAAACGGCAGTCTAGAGAGTTTGTGCCCACATAGGCAACCCTGGAAATCTTTGTGATATTATCGGCTGAAGCTTCAAAGGTTAAAGTACCTAATTTATATTTGTTATTTTGATAAGTGAGCCCGTTTTTGAGTGCTTCACTCATAAACTTTCTTCACTCTGAGAATTTGTACTGTAATGATTCCTAAACCGTTTTTATTTCCAGACAATAAGATAACTGTTGAAGGACTCAAACGTCTGACGGATATGCTTCAGATCCAAATGGAGCGGCGTAGTACAACACGTGGTGAAACACTGACCGGGATAACTCGATTGGTTCTTTCGGTGAGTCTTAAAACGCTCCCAAGATCTTTCGGCACCCGACTCTTGTTGCCACGCCCTCTCTCGCGCTTACTGTAAATGAACCCATCATCAGAGACAGAGGCAGAAAAGGGTGACTCGTCCACAGGAAGTTGCAGTATTTACAGGATGCAGTCGCCATGCTACTGTATACCTATAGCTATTAACCACACTCCCCTTCATCAAGGATCGTTGCCCGCTGGTGCGCTAATTGTTTGATGGCCGACATGCAAGTTGTTAATTGTTGAAATCTCATCAGCCGCGTTGGATGCTGGCGTGATGACTGCTCGGTCACCTGGCTCACCGGCTTGCGCGCTCCCCGAGTGGTCAATTACGTCAGCGAATAAAACCCTTGTTCCAGCGATCGCTTCTTACTGGCGAACGTCAGTCTACAGAAGACCGATGAACACACTGCAAATGCTCAGTTTCAACAACAACCACCGGCTACAACACAAACGAAGCTGTGTCCGCACGCTTTATCGACGGGTGAAAACTGACTGCAGCACGCCAGCCGCCAAACTGGACGAGATAAATTTCCTCCAAGAACTCTTCAGAGCCAACGGCTGTCAGCGAGCAGTCGTTGAGCGGAGCCGAATGCAACCAAGGAGACGAAATGAAGAACACAACCAGCCAAAATCGTGGCGGAGCATTCAATACATGAAAGGGGTCTCAGAAGCCGTGGCTGGATCCCTCGCGCAGCTAGGAATAGGTGTTGCACATAGGCCCGACTCAACAATCCGCCGGCAAATGATGCGACCAAAAGATCCGATACTTAATTAGGGGATGTCGGCTGTTGTCTACCGACCTCAATGCAGCTGCGGGAAGTGCAACTACGTTGGGGAAACCGGCCGACGGCTGCAAACGCGAGTGCACGAGCTTAAGTTGGTCGTGCGAAAGGTTGGACACATAGTGGGAGGTAGCAACTCATGCCGCGCAAATGGGAAACATCTTCAACTTTGAGGCCGTTGAGATTGTTTGCTGGGGCGATGATCATACAACAAGGCAGGTTCAAGAGGCCTGGATGTCCACCGATTGCTCTGTCAACCGCCACATCAATTTGCCTTCTTCTCCCCTAGCTGACTTTATGAACCTTCTTAACAGGGGACAATCGTGGCGCGAGACACTCAGGGTCGTCAATTATCTCCGTGACCAACGAGAGCAAGAGCGATTTAAGTCACGGGGACATGCGGGTCGGACGCAGCCACATAGGCGCCTTTGGCGGGCTACGCATCGAAGTACGCCATATAAGGATAGCTGCGCGCATGACTTCCCAGTCTCTGAAGATGGGTAGACGAAACAACTACTCGAAGCGTCAGATCTTTGATAAACCTCTCCCGGTGAACGCCTCCTTCTCTTTTGATAGTTGGAGGCGTTTAGCTGGGTTACAACGCCCGTCTGGGTGTGCCACCACACGGCCGACTTATTTTTACCGACAAATTCAGACCTCGAGCGCATAGCTTCGTCATGTAGAGGGCACCCTGCCGTTATACATTCACCCTGTTTAGTCTACAGGTTGAAGTGATTTCTGGCATCTGGCCGCAACGACAAGCACAGTTTAGTGGAATTGCAAATGAAAAATGCCTGTCGGTTAGGTGACGAGCAGGAAAATTGCTGCTTGCATGCAAGCCCATGGAGCAGCTGTCGCTCCTACCAGGCGCAACTTCTGTTGGAAAGAATGCACCCAAAATGACAGAAGATGACCTATTCTCCCCAGTAGATACTTGGCATCCAAAAAATTTGTCATTGAGTTAAATGACAAAAATGCGCTTTTTAGGAACTTTCTGTTAAATACAACGAAGCATTAGGATAGAAACTATTTATAGTTTCTTCTAGACGTTTGACTTGCCAGACTAAACGCCAACTTCAACAGGCTGAAGCTATTAATATCAAAAATAGCCCAATACCTATTTTAAAGCCTTTTATTATTTAGGGAATAGAGACTAGTACTTAACTATATTTTGCTTTACAATTCATCTGCTCGACGTCGGAGCCGTTGAAGTCAAACTTAACAAAATAAGAAATGGACGTGTTAGGTGATATACAGTGCTTTCTCCAAAACAAGCTTAGACTAATCTAGAGCTTAAGCCCACATGAGTAAACAAGGGATTCCTGTTTCAGGGCAATAATTTTGACGAAAGCGTTGAAGAGGCGGAACAACTGCGTCATCTGCTCAGAGAAAGGACAGAGGATCTCTGGTCAACGGACGTGTCGGAGACCGCGTCTGCGAATGACTGAGGGTTGCGTATTTAAAAATAAAAGAAACAATCCTTGATGTCAGCTAAGCCAATTTAATCACGTGTATGCAGTTCTCCTCCCCCCCACCAAATGACACGATCCAGCTAGCTTTATATCCATATTAGTTTGTTTTACCACTTTCAGTATAAAATTTTATGAAGTCAGATTGGAGACGTTAAAACGATGCTTAGTGGAAAGAGGTACATGATTTCCTGGCGAATATAAATACGTAAGTAAGCATCCAAGGCTCCTGGAGTTTTTGCATAAATTCTCCTAAATTATTTACTATTTACAGTAATCCGAGGGCTGTAACCTTGGTTCCAGGAAAGGGGACTGTTTGCGGTCTGTTCTGCATTCCGGCCTGATCACGCACGCTAGGTCCTCCTGGTAATTACGCACGACTGTAACTGCCAGTTTATGGGCCAGGTCAGACTGCGCTCCAGTCGAACTCGATTGGGCTCCACTTAAACCGATTCTTTCACTTTGAATAATTGAGTTCTCCGCCCTCTAGGTCGCTGTGTTATCTTCCTCTCGTCTGACGCCATTTTTGTAGGTACAATTCGTTTGACTCAAGCTCACTTTCCGCAAACAGGTTCTGTCGGTTCCACGCATTGAAAATGCCTGCGATAACATGGAAGATGCTGAAGTAGTTGGTCTGAAATATCTAAAAGCATTCATAGCATCCAGCGGCAGGCGGCCAACGGGATACGTGCTTGGGTTTTAAAGTGGTGGGGCCGCAGCTGAGAGCAGTAAACCCTCAGATCCGTGGAATACATAAGAGTTTGTAGTTTGCTCAAGGAAAACACGACAGGCATTACTATGCATTGGACTGGGGCGCAGATTATACTAGATGGAACATAACGTTTTAAACAAAATCTATTTATGCGCAGTTCCTGTATATATCCTACTTCAGCATTACATGAAGCACGAAAGCCTGACAGTTTGCCCTGACCGGGACCCATTACCAATAAAATCCCTTTATACATTTGCACCAAAAAGGGAAGTTGCGAAGATTGCCCTGTGTTTGTCCATACTCGTTGAAATCTAGGGAAAAAGAAGACTCTGCAGATGCTAATCTCTGTTATATAACACCAGTGCCCAGTACAATTAAAACGCTAATTAAATTCGAATTTCTCAGGAAAAGTATAGTTTTTTAGTCACTGCCATTTTATGGCCTGGAACTCACTGTGACCTCCAGGCCAACTGTTTAATCAGCCTATGAGTGCATCCAGCAATGCGGTGTTGCGAAAAAATCCAACAGGCCAGGCTGCTATTGCATTCTGCTAAATGTTCCCCAATTTCTCTTTCATCTGCATTTCTTCGAACGTATGCAGAAGGAATTAAAAGAAAAGACTGAACGGAGATATACCGCGCGCGAACTTTCAAACATTTTTAATTAATCGGAGGTAAACGCCAAAGAACGGTGTGGAGTACGTCGACTACTGTCCATGACGTCAATAGGACGCGCTTATTCATCGTACTTGGGTGAAAATGTGATCTCAGTGGGGCCCTTTTCAAGCGACAAGGGACTGGCGACGGATGATAATACCCTAAACAGAACTGTTCCCCAGGGATACGGTAGGACGGTGGGCCGGAATATCAGAAATATATCGTAAATACTCTGCAAATACATGCCTCCGCCCAGGGTGTCTTTTGACCCTTACCTTTGACACTAATGATTTTTTTCCTGAGTTCAAAGGCGACTGACAGTGCCCAAGGGGCGCTACAATAAACCTAAACCTATTAACTTACTGCAGGTAGCTGCAGCGCAGACAGCATAAGTAAGTTTCCTGCGGTCTTACGAGTAAACTACCTCCTGTTATTCGTTTTCGAACGACAGAGTCAACGAGACCACCTGCTGAATTTTTTGTCGGCGTTTGGTCCCATCTCCTCCGTCCATATGGAGGACAGTGATGAATACGCCAAGGCCGAGTTAAATGGTGCACGCGATTCCGTTCAACATTTCAATATTTTAGGTAGCGACAAGTTCACATCGAAAATAACTTAAACCACTCTATTTCAAACGACGGAGAGTAGGGAGACTCATATGAGACAACCATTTAGTTTTAGGGAGGGCGAGGTAGCCAATAATTTCTATAAGTTCTAAACTTGTTGGACTGCGACACCGTCATGTCTGCCGACGGAATAAAGCTTCGGGACCTCATCCACAAAGATGATGTTGAAGCACATCTTTCGGCCAACTTGCATCGACTCAAGCGTTGGTCAAATCACTGGCTCCACCGATTCAAGTTTAACAAGTACAAGACTCTGAGGATCGGTAGAACCACCATTTTAGATCGGAGAATTTACTATCTGAACCACACACGACAGTGAAACTATGGTTCCCGAGCTCGCCTATTCTTTCATAATTCGGTATATGTAAGGGAGATTGGCAGAGCCTTGGAAAGCCCTATTTACAGAAATAGGCTGGAAAAACATGTATGTGGTTACCTACCCATAAGAGTTCATCTTGTCACTTCTTGTCAAGTAGGTCTATGGTTGTCGTGCAAAGTACTACCAGGTCTTTGTTTAAATGTCTGAACCTCTTACGCCAGAACAGCGGAATAAGTAGTAATACGTGCATTTAATGCCGGTTTACAGGCCCTGTCAAATAAAGATAAAGTACAAATCGGGCTAACAGTGAAAAAAACTCTTAATGATTAAATACTGAGGATGGTGTTTGTGTAGTTTGGATGGTTCAGGGGAAAAACTGCTGCCATAAAATAACGTCAGTCCAGAAAGGGGTGGGTAACGCTGCATCGGATATTCCAATCTCCAAACCTTCACAAGAAATTGGCACTGGACCAAACAGAAGTATTGAGAAACCGTTGTTCGCTGGCGGATGAAGAAATTGTCCGAGGTGAGACGGGCCAGAGGGATCAGAGATCACGAACTTCATCACTACGGTAGATCAGATCGGTGAAACTCGCACCCAAAATATGTAGAAGATTCTCTGTCTGCAAAAAATGAGCAATAGTTCTCTTAAACAAAAAGTGATTTTACAGAATTATTGCAATCTTGGTTTATTTGTTCCAAATTTCAATTAGGTAGCTTGTTCCATTTCCCAATCATCCGGTGGGAGAAAAAGTTGGCCCCTACTTTAAATTTGGCGTAATTTGTCTTGAATATTTATCGATGGTCTCAGAGAGTTGCCATTTGTTTTTGTTCAAAACAAGTGTCTAACATCGTGTTCTGGGGGTTGGATTTTGCTATGCTTGAGGAGTGATGCTATTTCTACTTACTTCTGATCGAAAACTCTCGTGATAGGTTCTCGGTGTTCATCACGGCGGGCCAACATTTCATTGCTCAACCTATTTTTGACTGATTTCAGTAGTTCACAGCGTTCTTCAGAATTGGTGGTCGGTGGTCCGTCGCGCTTAGTTGAGAGCGAGTTAAATATTTCCGCTAAGTTTTTTTTTACATGAAATAGAAAACTGTTAACAATTGAGGGCAGATGGTTATTTGCCAGGTATCTATTGTTTTGTTCGCCGGCTGTCCGAACGTGGCCTAACGGTTAGAAGCGCTGGGCCCCGTTCGAAAGGTCCGTGGTTCAAATCCTTTCTGCGGCGGCAACCTCATGTCACATGTAGTAGGGTCGTAGACATACGCCTTTCCCATGCTAGAAAGATCTCTACAAGACTGCGTTAATTTGTTGCGTTGGCAAGTGGATAATCTGCTGATCACCGAAGGAAGTTCAACATCAAATGTCAGTTTGAAGCAATGGACGACTTAGCCTTCGCAGATTGTCAATAGGTCTACGTTTTCTGCCGATTTCCGATGAGTTCGCTGGCGGAAGACTATATTTGAGAAGCATACCGAAGTCGGCATTCATGGGAATCCAAACTTAACTGAGCAAGATACTTCGTTGAGCACCTAATCGCGATTTACGACGAGGCGAAATGGAGGAAGATGTCGCTAATATTGTAATACACGGAAACGAATGTTAATTGCACTTCTCAACTAATTTCTCACTTTATTTCGACGAGGCGTAACTTCGGGTAAAGATGGATGACCTACATATCGAAACAAAGGAAGACTAGCAAAGAAGACAAGTAGGTGTTCAGAAGGATTTATGAGTGTGAATCACGTCCTCATTAAAGTAACAAAGTCCACAATATCAGGCTTATATCTCATCAAGCGACATTTGCAAGGTTTGACGACAAGGTCTTCGGAACGTTTATATTTCCAAAGCTACAATGCGTCGTTCAAGCCTAGAGACCTTTGATTTTAAAGGACGCAGCCCTCCTGAAAATGTCCAACTATGCGCAACCAAACTAGTCCGAGGCCAAGGATAACTGCGCAATCTCGCCCTGTTTCTTTAGGGTTACTTCCAGCTACAAGGCGACTAGATAAAAGCGCTCCACACGTTGGGAAGTCAGGAAAGTTGTCTTGCATCCGTGGACTTTGTCGAACTAGTTACTATAAAAAAACTTGAAGGGGCGTCCACTTAAACTACCTGCATTGGGGACAAGACTAAAAGCCAGGAGTTTATTCTTCGTCAACAGGGGGATTAAAACATAGAATACTCTGCTTGAGAACGTGACCATGGCTCCATCCGCAGACACTTTGATCAGGAACCTTGACCGGCACAGTCGTAGGTACTACCATGCCATCAGAACCCAACCCATTTATCTCTATATGTCGTCACCGGCAAACTTTACCCGCCAGCAAATATACCACTCACCCTTGTTTCGCTAATTATATTTTACAGTTGCTTCGGTAAAAAGGAGAACTCGGTGAAAAACAAAGCATCGTCTAGCACAATCCGATAGATGCTTAAGCGTTCACTTACGCCTCAGAAATACGTATTTTCTACGCTCACTATTTCCGACGCATCACGCATATATTAACACGTATTTGCAGTTCGACAGACAGTTACGCGCTTGTCACACTCACTTCTTTAAAAAATCTTCTTAACCTTCCTAATGTATGAAGGGGTTTGTTTGCCTTTTCTTTACAAAAGTGAAAAATCTGACCCCAAACTGAAACTTTGAAGGCGT